CATTTTAGGTAGCCTTTTATGTCTGACTTATTTCACTTAGCATGTTTTCAAGGTTCATCTGTGTTATGAGCATGAATTAATACTCCATTCTTTTTCATGGCTGAATGATATTCCATTGTATGGAACACTACTTTTGTTATTCACACATCAGTTGATGGACATTCTCTTAATTAATATTTGTATAGCATGTGTTTTTCCATCCTCATAATTATGTTATAGGATTAAAGTTGATCCAAACCTTTCTTTGTGCACATGCTTAAATGCATATGTACCTGTATTAGTTATCTGTTGCTGCATAACAAATTACTCCAAATTACTTAGTGGCTTAAAACGATAATCACTATTTGCTATTTCACATAGTGTTATCTAGGGGTCAGGAATTCTGGAGTAGTTTAGCTGAGTGGTTCTGGCTCAGGCTCTCTCACGAGGTTGCAGACAAGACGTGGGCAGGGGCTGCAGTCATTTGACAACTGGAGTAGGGCTTCCCAAATGTCTCACTCATATGGATGAAGGGCCTGTGCTGGCTGTTGGCAGGACTTAGTTCCTCTCCATCTAAGGCTGCCATATTTAGCAAATAAAAATAGGGACTACCCAGTTAAATTTGCAATTCAGATAGATAACAAATAATTTTTAGTATATCTCAAATATTGTAGGGGACACACTTATACTAAAACATTATTGTTTACCTGAAATGCAAATAAAAGTAGGTGTCTTGTGTTACCTGACAGTTCTCTGCAGGGCTGCTTGAGTGCGCTCACCAAGTGCTAGCTGGCCTCTCCCACAACAAGTGGCTTAAGAAAGCACAGAAAAAAAACCAAAGTTCTGCTTTTGTGCTTCTGTCTTTTGCGTTCACACATGACCTTGCCTTGGAAGTCCCATACCAACAGTTCTTCTGGTTACACAGGTCAGAACTAATCAGTATGAGTGGGAATTATACAAAGGCATGAAGACCAGGAAGCAAGAGTGATCGTAGAGGTTACCTGCCACAGTACCCATAGAAAATACTATTGTTTGTTTTTTGTGTACAGATGTTTGTCATGTACTTTTAAACATAAGAATAATTCTGTATCTGTTCTGCAACTGTTTTCACTTAGCAGTACATCTTGAAGCTCTTTTATATTTTGGTGCGTGTAGTGTTGTCCCATTCTTTTTACTCGCTGCAGATTATAACATGGATCTGTCATATTTAACCATTCCTCTATTTTTGGACATTTAAGCTGTTTCTAAAAGCTCACTACTATATATAATGTCATAACAATCAACCTTCTACATGCCTCCTGGTACGCACAATGCAGGTGTTTCTATAGAGTGGATCTCAAGAGGCGAAATTGCTGGATCACAGGGTATGTACATTTATAATTTTAACACATACTGCCAAATTCCCTCCAACTCTATTATACCAATTTATTTGTTTATTTGTTAATTGTTTATTTACCAAGAGGAACTATTCCTCAGCCCACATATTCATAGCTCAGGAGCACAGGTCAGTGACAAATTTCTATGTAAATTAACCCAAAGAAATTCTTTATATTCCAAAATCACTTTGTACTCTGAAAGATAGCAGCCTTCCTCATCTCCTCAAAATCTCTGATAGAATCATAATTTCTGTAGAAATCTGCATATGCCTTCTTCTTGGTTCAGCCACAGCAAACTTGTACAAAGCTGCAACCCCCAGGGAAACAATGAATGCTTTGACAATATGAAACCGCAGACACCTGGCCAGGAGGCCATGCATCTAAGGTTTTGTCAAAGCTCTGGAAGCTATGGTAGTTACTGTCCTTGATGGGTATGCCAACCTCCACACGTCCTTCCTGGCTGAGGGAGAAATGAACTGTCTGTTGTACCAATTTACATTCTTACTAGTAGTGTATAAAAGAATTCATTTCCCCACAACCTCACTTAAAAAAAAAAAAATTCTGCTTTTATGATTTGTTTTTAAAAACATACCTTACTATTGCTTTATTGCATTTTTCTATTTTCTAGTGGAGATGAACTGAGAGTCTTATGAATTAAATAGTAGCTAAAAGCACAGGCTCTATAGACTGATTGCTTGGGTTCAAATTCTGGCTTTGCCACTTACTAGCTGTGTGACCCTGGGCAAATTACGACGTCTGTGTGTCACAATGACCTCATCTAGAAAATTTAAAATAACAGTATATTTACCTCCTTTGTTTGAGGTGAAGATTCAATAAAATAATACTTGAAAAGTGCTTAGACTTGTGCCTGGCAATGATAAATTCTCGGGATTATCAGTATTACTATTACTGTTGTTGTTGTTATTGTGTTTCCTCTTCTATTCTTTGAATTGCATGCTTATATCCTTTGCTCAGGTTTTCATTGAACCATTTCTTTTTCTGACATGAAAAAGTTATTTATATATTGTCCTTTGTCATATGTATCACACACACACACACACACACATTTATTTCCAAGTATTCTCTTCAACCAGTTCTGCTTGCCTTTTAACTGTTCCTACAAATCTTTTGTCAAACAATTTTAATTTTTTATTATTTTTTAAATTATTATGGGTACATAATAGTTGTCAGTTTTAAATTTTGTTGTCATCAAATGTATCAATATTTTCCTTCATGGTAGCTCTCACTTTCTCTGTCTTATTTAAGAAGGCCTTTGTTATACAAAGGTCATAAAATCACTATATTATATAAAGGCAAAAAAAATACTTACAGGGAAACAAAATATCCAGTATCCAACAAGGTAAAAGTCACAATATCTGTCATTCAATCAAAAATTACCAGACATATAAAGAAGCAGGAAAATGCAACCTATAAATATAAGTAAACTCAATCAACTAAAACCCCCAAAATGAAATGATAGAATGAGTACATAAGAATATTAGAAGAGTTATAACTGTATTCCATACATTCAAGAAGTTGGAAGTAATATTGGGAATGTTAGATGGAGACATGGAAGATATAAAAAAAAAGACCCATATTGAACTTCTATAGGTGAAAACTACAGTATATGAAATGAAAAAATACTTTGGATGTGATTAATAGCAGATTAAATTTTTTCAAAGAAAAGATTAGTGAACTTGAACAACAATAAAAAATATCCAAAACAAAATACAGACAGAAGAAAGACTAAAAAAAGAATGGCCATCTAAAATACATGTAATTGGATTCCCTGAAGGATTAAAAAAGGGAGAGAAAACAATATATTTGAAGAATAATGGCTGAAAAGTTTCTAAAACTGATAAAACTATAAAATCATAGGTTTCCTTTGCTCAAGGAACCTCAAGAAAACTACATCATGATATGTCCAACAGAGATAAGAATCACAGCAGACTTCTTGTCAGAAAAATATAAGCATGCAATGAAAATGTACCTTAAAGCACTGAAAGAAAGGAAAAAAAAATTATCCTAGGATTCTATACCCAGCAAACATACCTTGCAAAATACAAGGTGAAATGAACGTTTTCCAGACATATAAAAGCTGAAATAAATCATCACTAGCTGATGGCCAATGCGAGAAATGTTAAATCATGTCCTTTGCACAAAAGAGCACCAAAAATGGTAACCATGTGGGTATATGCAAAAGACATTTTTCTTATTTAAATCTCTTTAAAAGATAATTTGTTTTGTTTGTTTGTGGTTTTGTTTGTTTGTTTGTTTGTTTGAGACAGAGTCTCACTCCGTTGCCTGGGCTAGAGTGCCATGGCATCAGCCTAGCTCACAGCAACCTCAAACTCCTGGGCTCAAGCAATCCTGCTGCCTCAGCCTCCCGAGTAGCTGGGACTACAGGCATGTGCCACCATGCCCAGCTAATTTTTTCTATATACATGAGTTGGCCAATTAATTTGTTTCTATTTATAGTAGAGTCGGGGTCTCGCTCTTGCTCAGGCTGGTTTCGAACTCCTGACCTCGAGCAATCCACCCACCTCAGCCTGCCAGAGTGCTAGGATTATAGGCATGAGCCACCGCACCTAGCCTAAAAAATTGTTTAAAACAAACAAACAAAAAAAACCCAAGGTATTGAAGAATTCACATGTACAGCAGTCAAGTGTATAACATCAATAGCATAAAGGCTGGGATGATTTTTATACTACAGTCATGTGTTATTTAATGACAGGAATATCTCCTTAAATTTAAACATATCTAGACATAGAAAAAATATAGTAAAAATATGGTATAAAAGATAAGATGTGGTGCATCTGTATTAGGGCACTTACCACGAATGAAGCTTACAGGACTGGAAGTTGCTCAGGAGAAGGTAGTGAGTGAGTGGTAGATGAATGTGAAGGCCTAGAACACTACTGTACACTTTATTAACATATATACACAGGCTACACTGAATTTATAAAAGTATTTTTGTTTCTTCACTAATAAATTGATCTTAGCTTACTGTAACTTTTTGACATTAAAAAGTGTAATTCTTTTAGGCCAGGCACAGTGGCTCACTCCTGTAATCCTGTAATCCTAGCACTCTCGGAGGCCGAGGCAGGTGGATCATTTGAGCTCAGGAGTTTGAGACCAGCCTGATCAAGAGTGAGACATCCCATCTCTACTAAAAAAAAATAGAAAGAAATTGGCTGGCCAACTAAAAATATATAGAAAAAATTAGCCAGGTATGGTGGCGCATGCCTGTAGTCCCAGCTACTCGGGATGCTGAGGCAGAAGGATCACTTGAGCCCAGAAATTTGAGGTTGCTGTGAGCTAGGTTGGCACCACAGCACTCTAGCCTGGGCAATAGAGTGAGACTCTGTCTCAAAAAAAAAAAAGTTATTTTAATTATTTTAACTTTTAACTCCTTTGCAATAACACTTAGCTTAAAACACAAACACATTGTATAGCTGTACAAAAATATTTTTTCTATATGCTTTTTTTTCTATATTCTTTATTCTATATGCTTTTTTCTACTTTAAATTTTTTTAATTTTATTTTTTACTTTTTAAACTTTTTTGTTAAAAACTAAGACACAGGCACAGACGCCGGAACCGGAAGCAGGGGCGCCGCGCGACCGAGGCCGGGTGGGCGCTCGGGCCGCCGGTGTGGCAGACCCCACGATGGCGGAGAAGGGGCCGGGACGTGTCGCGTCGTCGCCCGGTTCTCCTTCACTTCGGGATGCTCTGCTCCAGAACCTCTACGACTTTGGTGAGTGCGGAGCTTCCGGAGCCCACGTGGAGAGCGGATTTGGGGAGCGAGGGTCTCCTGTGTGGCCCTAACCGGGATGGCCTATGCTTTCTGGCTATAAACTAAAATAAAATTTTAAGGCTCACCCCCCAACACACGCCAGCTGACTGAATGGACCCCCTCGTGGCCAAAAAAAATTCTAAAACTAAATTGTCTGCCTGGGGGAGGGAGGTCACACATGCCTCATCCTGACCCTCTCCCTTCTTGGGGGACGTCCTTTGTAACCCATTAAAAGGCCTAAGGGTATGCAAGACAAACCTGCAGGTCCTCAATTTACACAACAAATCTATGCCTGAAGGCTTATCTCTGTTAATAGCTCCTTAGGTTAAAACATCCCAGGCCTTTAAACAAAGCTTCATGTCTTTAACCAATTACAAGCCAAAGAATGTTTAAACTCACCTATAACCTGTAAGCCCCTGCTTTGAGATGGCCCACCTTTTTTGGGCCAAACCAACGTATGCCTCCCACGTATTGATTTATGACTTTACCTGTAACCCCTGTCTCCCTGAAATGCATAAAACCAAACTGTAACCCAGCCACATTGAGTGACTCCAGGTCATGGTCCTCAAATTTGGCTCAAAATAAATCTCTTTAAAATTAAAAAACTAAGACACAAACACACACATTAGCCTGGCTCTGCACAGGTCAGGATCATCAATATCACTATATTCCACCCCCACATCTTCTCCCACTGGAAGGTCTTTGGGGCAGTAACACACACAGAGCTGTCATCTCCTGTGAAAAAATACCTTTCCCTGTCATATCACCTGAAGGACTTGCCTGAAGCTGTTTTACAGTTAACTTTTTTTAAGTAGAAAGGATATGCTCTAAAATAATAATAAAAAGCATAGTATAGTAAATACACAAACCAGTAACTCTCATTTATTATTATTATAAAGTATTATGTACTGTACATAATTTTATGTGCTATACTTTTATATGACTGGCAGTGCAGTAGGTTTGTTTACACCAGCATCACCACAAATATGACTAATGCATTGTACTTTGTACTAGGGCATTATAATGGCTACAGTTTCACTAGGTGATAGGAATTTTTCAGCTCCATTATAATCTTATGGGATTACCCCTATATATGTGGTCAGTTGTTGACCAAAACATTGTTATGGGCCAGGCGTGGTGGCTTATGCCTGTAATCCTAGCACTCTGTGAGGCCAAGGCAGGAGAATTGCATGAGGTCAGGAGTTTGAGACCAGTCTGAGCAAGAGCAAGATCCTATCTCTACTAAAAATAGAAAAAATTAGCTAAGTGTGGTGGTACATGCCTGTACTACCAGCTACTCTGGAGGCTGAGGCAAGAAGATCCCTTGAGCCCAGGAGTTTGAGGTTGCTCTGAGCTAGACTAATGACATGGCACTCTAGCCCAGGTGACAGAGTAAGACCCTGTCAAGAAAAGGGAGGAAGGAAGGAAGGAAAGGAAGGAAAGAAGGAAAATTTACCATGATAGACCAAATTTGGGGCCAGAAAACAGGTCTAAATTTAAAATATTTTAAAAGGATTCAAATCATACAAAGTATGTTCTCTAACTACAATGAAATTAATAATATCAATAACATAAAAATAACTAGAAATCCCCACATACCTGGAAAATAATTTGTTTTTAAATAATCCATGAGTCAAATAGAGAAATCAAAAAGAAATTAAAGGCTAAGCACAGTGGCTCATGCCTGTAATCCTAGAACCTTGAGAGGCAAAGGCAGGAGAATCCCTTGAGCCCAGGAGTTCAAAGATCAGCCTAGGCAATATAGCAAGACTCCCTCTCGACAAAAAAAAAATTTTTTTAATTTTTATTAAAGAAACTAGAAAGTAATTTGGACTGAACGAAAATGAAAATATATCAAAATTCATGAGATGCAGCTAAAGCTTAGAAAAAACTTTGTATACTTTGTAATGCTCTGCCAAACCATCATCTGGGGACTTCCAGAATGTCTTATCCACCACTATGCTTTTCTACACAGCATTGCTCCTGATGAAAAAACTCATTTCACAGCAAGTGAAGTGCAGCAATGAGTCCATGCTCATGGAATTTACTGGCCTCACCATGTTCCCATCATCCTGAAGCAGCTGGCTTGCTGGAAAAGTGGAAGGCCTTTTGAAGATCCAGTTACAGCACCAGTTTGGTGACAATACCTTGCATGGCTAGGGTAATGTCCTTCAGATCATATGTGCTCTAAATCAGCATCTCACATGTGGTGCTGTTTCTCCCATAGCTAGGATTCATGGTTCCATGGATCAAGGGTGGAAATGAAATGGCAGCATTCACTGTTAGCTCTAGTGATCCACTGGTAAAATGTCTGCTTCCCATCCCTGTGACCTTATACTCTGCTGATCTGGAGGTCTTCATTCCAAAGGGAGGAATGCTTTCAACAGGAGTCACAATGATTATTTCATTGAACTGGAAGTTAAGACTGCCATGGGTCCTTTGGGGCTCCCCACACCTCTGAATCAACAGGCAAAGAAGGGAGTTACTTTGCTGACTGGAGTGACTCATTCCGACTACACAATGGAGGAAGGAAAAGTATGTCTAGAATATGGGAGATCCCTTAGGGCATCTCTTAGTACTACCATGTCCTGTGATTAAAGCCAAGGGAAAACTATAACTACTCAATTCAGGTAAGACTTCTAATGGCCCAAACCCTTCAAGAAAGAGAGTTTGGGGGCATCCCGCCAGGCAAAAAACCACCACCAGCTCTGAGTTTCTTGGGAGAGTAAAGGAAATACGGAATGAGTAGTGGACGAAGGGAGTTATAAATACCAACTACAATCATCTGACCAGTTGCAGAAACGAGGACTATAATTATTATGAGTATTCTTTATTTTGTTATGTTTGTGTGTTTATATGTATAACATTTTTGTTTTCTTCCCACTTTTATCCCCTTGTCCTGTATCATAAAATGTATTAATAACAGCTAACTTTACATCACATTATTGAAGTTACTGGATTATCAAGGATAACAGTGAACATCACCCAAGGACTTTGAATCTCTTCTGGGGAAAGAGCACATTTTCAGTTGCACACTGGGTAAGTGTATCATGACAGACAGAAGTATGACTCTGTTATCGTCTGTATTTGGAGATTAAATATGGCTTAAGGAGATGTGCATGGGTGCCAGGTTGACAAGACAGGGACTGTGAAGATAAGTAATTTATGTGTCAACTCAGTTATTCAAAACTCAGTTATTCAAAAACTAATCTAGGTGTTGCTGGGAAAATATTTTGTAGATTCGATCTACATTGATAATCAGTTAACTTTATGTAAAGATTATCCTGGATAATGTGGGTGGGCCTGATCCACCCAGTTGAAAGGTTTCTCCGAAGAAATTCTACCTGAGGACTGCAGTGTTAGCTTGGCTGAGTGTTACCAGACTTCCCTTCCTTATCACCTGCCCTGTAGATTTCAGACTTGCCTAGCCAGCCTCCACAATTGCATAAGCCAATTATTTGCAATCAATCTAGATAGACAGAGATACAGATAGACAAGGTAGACAGATATACTGCTGGTTGTGTTTCTCTGGTGGAACTCTGACTAATACACAAACAAATCGTCTGAGAAAATTTTGCATCTCTTGATGAGTCAGAGCTTGTTTTTTGGCCCAAAAGGGATCACCAGGCAGGCATACATGAGACATGCCACAAAACCACTGGGCAAATCCTAGGAGTTCAAAAGATTCTGATGGAGGAGTCAAATGGGCAGTCAGAGTAGTGTTCTGTCTTTCACGGCAGGCCTTCAGCTATGTCAGACCTTTCATGTTTATGAAACTATCTGCAACACATTGGAATATTACACAGCTACTTTAAAATATGCTCATTATCAACTATCTCTAAAAGGAGACACAAACTCTCATAGCATTAATTGCATCTTTACAAGTAGGGGAACCCAGTGGCTGGGGGACAGGGGTGGGAGGGAGAATTTTCAGTATTGGTACCTTTGGAATGAGTCGTGTGAATGTATCGTCTAAATTGGGAGTTGGCACATTGTGGTCCACAGGCCAAATCTGGCCACTATTAAAGTTGTATTGCAACACAGCCATGCTCATTTGTTTACATATTGTCTATAGCTGCTTTCAAGATACAATAGCAGAGTTTAGTAGTTGCAATAACTAGATACCTAAGGTCATATGGCCCACAAAGCCCAAAATATTTACTATCTGACCTTTTACAGAAAAAAAAAACTGCCAACCTCAGTTTAGATTAAAAAAAAAAAGTTGAAGCCTGTGCAAGAACAAGACCCCATCTGTACAAAATAGAAAAATTAGCTGGGCACAGTGACTAACAGTCCTAGTTATTTGGGAGGCTGAGGCAGGAGAATCGCTTGACCCCAGGAGTTTGAGGTTGCAGGGAGCTATGAATAGCACCACTGCACTGTAGCCCAGGTGACAGAGTGAGACACTGTCTCAAAAAAAAAAAAAAAAAAGAAAAAAGTAGAAAAGTACACTGACATTAAAAAATAAAATATGCCCCAAGAGAACTGAAAACATGTCCACACAAAAATTTGTAGATCAAAGTTCAAAGCAACGACCAAAGATGTTACAGAATATATGCAAAAAAAGAGGAAAAAATTTTAAAAAAGGGAAAAAAAAGTTCAAAGCAGCACTATTCACAATAGCCAAAAAGTAGAAACAACCCAAATGCCCCTCAACTGATAAACAAAATGTGATATACCCATATAATAGAACATTACTCAGCCAGAAAAAGAAATGAAGTACTGATAAACACTACAACCCACATGAACCTTGAAAACATCATGCTAAGTGAAAGAAGCCAGAAACAAAAGCCGTATGTTGTATGGTTCTATTTCTATGAAATGTCCAGAATAGGCAAATTCACTGAAATAGAAAGTAGATCAGTGGTTTTCAGGGGCTGGGGAAGAAGAATGGGGAGTGACTGCAAATGAGGACAGGGTTTCTTTGGGGGGGGGGTGATGAAATGTTCTGGAATTAGGTAGTGGTGATGGTTGCACAAGTTTGTGTATATCCTAAAAACTACTGAACTGCACACCACCTCCAAGTACAGAACATTCTAGAGTTCAGTAGGGGCTCAGAACCTACTACAAATTAGTCCTCTCTGCCACCTCAAACCAGGACGAAACCTGTCCTGGGAGTCAGGAGATCAAATGCTACATCCCATTTGTCCCAAATGCTCATGTGACCTTAGATCTGTTTCTTTTATTCTTTCCTTCCCTATAACATGGGGGCAGTGGGGCAGGGAGGGAGAAAGCTGATGCAATGGAGTGTGACGAGGGTTTGGGGGACCTGACTTCCCAGAATCCTTTATTCTTTCTCCAAGCTTTATTAGACACCCTAATAATCAGTATCTTCATCTTTATCACTATTATCACCCTTTTCCAATTCCAAAGCACTTTCACATATACAATATCATTTGGTCCTTTCCTTTGTTTAAAAAAATAATTATTTCAGCATATTACAAGGGTACAAATGTTTTAGGTTACATATATTGTCCTTACCTATATTGCTCCACCCGAGTCAGAGCTTCAAGCATGTCCATCCTCCAGATAGTGCACACCACACTTATTAGGTGTGTATATACCCATCTCCTCCTCCCCCTCCCATCTGCCCGACAACTGATGAATGTTATTACTATATATGCACTTAAGTGTTGATCAGTTAAAACCAATTTGATGGTGAGTACATGTGGTGCTTGTTTTTCCATTCTTGGAATACTTCACTTAGTAGAATGGGCTCCAGCTCTATCCAAGATAATACAAGAGGTGCTATATCACTACTGTTTTTTTTGTGGCTGAGTAGAACTCCATGGTACACATATACCACTTTTTATTAATCCACTCATGTATTGATGGGCAATTGGGTTGTTCCCACATCTTTGCAATTGTGAATTGTGCTGCTATAAACATTTGAGTGCAGATGTCTTTTTTATAGAATATCTTTTGTTCTTTTGGGTAGATGCCCCATAATGGGATTGCTAGATCAAATGGTAGTTCCACTTGTATCTCTTTGAGTTACCTCCATATTGCTTTCCACAGAGGTTGTACTGGTTTGCAGTCCCACCAGCAGTGTATGAGTGTTCCTATCTCTCTGCATCCATGGTCCTTCCCTTTAGGAAAGACACGTATTAGCTCCATTTTACAGATGAAGAAATTGAGGCTCAGAGAGGTCAAGGAACTTGTCTAAGTTCACACAGTGGGTAAGTGTTGGAGCTAGGACTCAACACCAGATCTTCTGATTCTAGATCCTTTGTTCTACCCACACCACCACACTTGTTTTTGCATGTTTGGCCTCTCTCTAGAAAGCCTAATACAACAATGCCAGCAGCCTCATCACAAACACTGCCTACCTTTGAGAGAAGTAAGGGAAGAGAGGCAGCAGGAACCTGGGGTTCTACTGGTTCTCTTTGGTCTTTTCTTACAAACCTCTGTATATTGTCACAGTAGCAGTCTGTGGGTAGGAGTATTCACATGCACTGGTGTGGACACCAAGCCCATATACATCACAAAGATATACAGAAACACCTGACCTCTTCAACGGGTGACAGGTCACTCCTTGTTACCAGGGTGGTGAGGGGGCTATGCCTTTAGTTCAGGGGAGGCCTAAGAGATCAGAACTCTGGGAATCTGCTCTCTCTTTGGAGAACAGAAGACTCAGTAACCCCATCATGAGGCCTTGAGGAGGAAGGGGCAGCTCCTCAATCCTTGGTAGAAGGGAGGAGGAGGAGGGAGAGATAGGAAATTGTCCTTCCTGCCCTTGCCAAACCAGAGCTCCAGGAGAGGGAACATCAGGGCCTCACTGCTGAACTCAGTGGCTGGGCCTAATCTTAAGGATTGTCAGGGAGACCCCAGCTGTCAAACCCAGTTAAGCCCCTGTGAGTCACAGTGCTGAGCTCTAGTAATGCTACCAGCTACGTGGGTTTTGCAAAGTCACGCACCCTCTCTGATTCAGTTTGCTTATCCAAAAATGTGGCTAATGACTACTGGCTCTAACTCAGAGGGGTGCTCTGAGGTTTCAGTGACACAAATAAACTGAAATGCTTTAAAAATAAATTTCATTTTATGAACACACTACTTCATTCTTCCATAGCTGGCAAGCAAGGACTGAGGCTTGAACACACTAGGAGGGCAGAGACCTCCTCTCTCCTTTCCAGGTGGCAGGGCTCAGGCAGGAGGGAGCCAGATCTCTGTAGGAAAGGCCGGGCTGCCCATGCTTGCTCGCACCCTTCTTTTGTCATGTGACCAATCGGTATTTCTCAGGCAGGCACTTGCTACAGGACAGGCACTGTTCTGTGTGCTTGGTGATAAAGTAGTTAAGAGAAAATGCTCTTACAGAGGTCATATTCTAGTTGTGGGAGACCAACAAGTAAACAAACAACAAATAGGTCAAGCATTGGCAGGTGCTGTGTGGAATTAAACTGGGCCAGGTTAATAGTGATGAGAGAGGCACTCTTTCATATGAGATGTCAGAAAGCCCCTCTGATAAGAGGATGTTTTGAGTAAAGACAAGAAGGCAGTGAGGCAATAATTTGGGGATGGCCACACCCTAGGTCTGGGCTAGAGGACATGAAAGTTCAGGGGATGGTGACAACAGCACCATGGCAGCAGAGACAATTCCCTACCGTTTGCCTAACTTAGATTCATTCACCACCCTGCTCTTCCCTGGGGGAGGCTGACCCCTCCAGACCACAGCCCTGAGTCAGCCTCCTCACGTGCAGTTCAGTGAGGTTCAGTCAAAGGGAGCCCCAGGATAAGAGAGGGAGAGAAATTGATGTTCTCACTCCCTCACTGCCCAGCCACAATTCTGATCATGAGCTGCATTCTTCTAAGAGAATTCCACAATTCCCATTTGCCTTCCATGGCCCCTTTAGTGACCCATCCTCACATCCTTCCCTCTCCTGAACCCCACTGGGTAGGAGATTGTCTCCTCCAGGAAGCCCTGCAGGATTAGCCATCTAGATGAGCACTGTGTACCTACCTGTGAAAGAATGCATTGTCCACAGATGCCACCTGGATTGCCTCTTCCCTCAGGGCAGGAGGTAGATGAGGTTTAGCCTTAGAGACACTCATCTCAGATGAAATGTGAACCATGGCCGCCTCTCCCCACCAAGGCTCCAGCTCTATCAAATTACTCATACCCGCAAAGGTGGTCACAGAATTTAGGGTTGTAGAGCCCCTCATCTTAATTTCTCATGACTGCACTGCCCCAGAGGTAGAGCCTTCTCCCCAAGATCCAGCCAACCAACTTCCTAACTGAAGGAACCCTGTCTACCTACCTCTAACATTCAATAGTTCATTGCCCAGTTTATTTCCCTGATGACACATTTACCAGTATTGGAAAAAGCTTACCAGTGTGCATGTTGTCTGCTCTACCCATTAGAATGCACGTGCCATAGAAGCCTAGAACTTGTCTTCTTCTGTGTGAAGAGCATCGTAGGCCCAAGCACACAAGAACTCAGCAAGTATTTCTGAGTGAATAAATGACAACAGAAAGAGGGCCAAACACCTTCGGTTCCCCCACTTCTCCACAGGAATTATAGCCATACAATGGCTTAGGGTCAGAGGACAGACACTCTCAGAAGTCTTGGCCCTGCTGACTTCTCCAGTTATGCATGGGGGCAGGAACCTCCAAGTAGGACAACCTAGAGGAATCAGAGAATCACTCAGCTTCCACCAACAGAGGTGGTATCTTTCTGAAGATCCCCGGCTTTTCCATTTCTGAGTGGCCTGAGAAGGACTTTGAAAACAGAAACAGCGTCCAAGCTCAGGGAAGCTGAGAATGGGGAATAGGGGATATGAACTTTCACGAGAGGTTCTTAGAAGCCAAGCTCAGGCAGGTACAGGACAGCAGCTGTGAAGGCAGCATCTGCTACACCAAAGACCCCAAATGTGGCTTCCCTGGCCATCCTCACTAGGGTGGGAGGAGCCAGGAGACCCTGTAGTGAGTGCCACTGGTTAGTTCTCCCCTACTTAAGGGGCATAAGCCTAAGCCCTACAAATAAGTCCTGCTTCAGGCCAATGGGTATCTCTTGCCTGGTCTTCTCTCTTCAGTCCCCATGCTACTCCACCCTAGACCCTTCCCACCCCCACCCACCGTGTGACACCACTGCCACCAGTCCAACCCCTCACCCCCAAAGAAACCCGAACAGTGCAGAGGTGCATCAATCGACCTTTAATGTCCAAAAGAGGCGTGGATGCAGAGCATAGGAGATGTGGCAGGGTCTCAGCCCCTGCTCCAGAAATGAGGGAGAGATGAACACAAACCAGACACTTCTAACTGGCCACACAAGTCTGGGAGGGCAGGGGAAACACAGATTTGGACATTCATAAAAAAATAAAACCTAAAATCAAGCAATCTTGTACCCATTGAAGGGTTTGATATAGGGAACTCATTACCACCCCAGTTCCCACCCTCCCCTGCCAGCATCAAAAAGCAAGCTCGGCACACACTAAGGGCTTGGGGAAGAGGCTTTCTCCTGCCTCCCCACCAGCCCCAAGAATGGACTTGAAAATAAAAGAATGAGCTGGATCCCCCACCCCCCACATTGTTAACCCTACACATGAGAGTTTAGAAGGTGATTCGTGAGAATCAGCAGCTCAATCAGCAGTGACCACCTCAAGCCCCACCTCATTCCATCAACACACAAGGTTTCCCCTGCACCCTCCTTGGAATCTCCTCCCACTCACGGCCCTGCTCCATCTGATATCTGGCTTCATCACTTCAAGACTGACCTCCAAAGCTCCCCTGGAGCCTCTCTCAGTCCTTTACCACTTCCATCCTCACCTCCCACCAGAGGCTGCTACCATCCAGTCACTGTCTCTTTCTGCTGAGACCCAGATCCAGAGCAAATGGCCATCTTGTCCTGGGTGGTCCTCCTAAAGCCCTCCCAAGGAGCAGATGACCACAGAGCAAGCAGAGTGTCTGGGCTAGATGACTGGGGGTGGGTTGGAGTGACACCTGTCTTCACCCCCAAAAGAGACCCCCAGAGGCTTCTAACATAAAGGCCCACTTAGAACTAACTGTCCCCCCTACCTACCGTACACCCTAGAGATTCCACACTGTCCTGCCCCCTCCCTCCCCTCTACCCCAAACACACACACACACATATATACACACACACACAGGAGAACTGAGGGAGACATTGATTTGGTTTGATTGCTAAGACCTAACTAAGGAACTACAGTCACCAGAAATTCCCTTGCCAGCCAACTCACAACAGGGGCTGCTCTAAGAGAACTCCAGAGGAATGAGAAAACCAAGGGCTAAGCAGGGAGCAGACAGAGGGAGAAGAAAGAATGTAAAGGAAAAAAAAACCCAAGCTAATCCTACCCCCAACATCCTTCTAGCATGATCTCTGGCAGGAAGAATAAAAGAAGGTAATCCACAAAGACAAAGCCCTTACTTAGAAATTCTGACAAAGACAGCAAGACAAGTCTGCTCCCCACTCCCACACACCACAGACAAACACATCTCAGGGCCCCTTAATGAATGCACCCCCACCCCACCATCTGCCCCAAGTTGTAGAATCACAGTTCAGTGGAATATTCTCCCTGGTACTAGAACAATCCCTCCACCCTCCTTCCTATCCCTCTCTCTCCTTGCCAATCCTAACACTGTCCCCCTGCAGACTCCCTGGCCCTCCCAAAGCAGCATCCACCACCAGGAAGAGGCAGCTGCAGTTTTAGTTCCACCTCCAGAGACCTATTTCTTTTCCTCAGCCCTTCTAGTCTTTCGGGCTTTGTTGAGGGCTTTTTATTTTGTATAGGGAGAGAAAGAGAAAAGAGAGAGGTGGGAGAGATTTCCTAGTGCAATACAACCAAATTTTGTTTAAAGTCTTGAAAAATAAACATAAAGCAGCCTTCTTCCCCAGGCAACTAAACAGAAAGAAGTTTGGTTTTGTTTACTGCGACATACACATGAAATCGAGTATACAGTCCATGCAGTAGCACAGCCATTGGAGAGGACATCCTGATGCTAGCCCCAGTGCAAAACAGTCCCAGCAACGCTGCCTGCTTGCCATTGCTGCCGCCGCCACTGACACCTTCACCACAGCCACCTAGCCTGACTTGAAGAGGAGGATTGCAACTTGACCCAAGTAAAAATAGATGAAGTGCTTTGTCTCATGTGTGACGTAGCTGCCAAAATTCCGGCCCACGATACAATGCCAGGTAGGGTTATATTTCTTGTCAAATTCCTAAAAAAAGAATAACAGGGGGAGAAGAAAGGTGGTTAGGATAGCTGGGAGATGAAAAACCAGAATGGGAGTCTCTCCCTGTAACTCTAGCACCAACACGTGTTCAGTTGTTATCACCCCCACTCCACCCCCAGCCCACAGCCTCAGCTCCCAGAACCTCAGGAGCTCAGGTTCTAAGACTGGCAACAACTCTCTTCCCTCATTAATAATGGAATGCCACAAAGGCTCCATTATTCCTTTCCCCTGAGCCTCCACTCTACACCCTGATCATCTCTCCTCCCTCTAACTACCCCACCCCGACACCACCACTAGCCCACCCTGTGCTTCTTCAGAAAAGGAATCGGAGCAGCCAATGGAACAAAGGACCATTCCCCATCTATCCCCTGCCTCACACGTTACTAAACCAGCATTTCCAATGCTAAAAACCAAGACATTAGAGCAAAATGGGAACCAAACACCAGGAGGACCAGGAAGCAGTTCTATATAAGATAAGATTAAAGGCACTCCCATGTGCCAGGCACTGTGTGGGCTGTATGTCCCAGAACAAGGACCTCAGCCATGAGATCAAGGAAATTTCCTCACTTCCCTCAGGGGCAGATTCAGTATCAAACCCACACAGGAAATCCTCGTAAGCTAATCAGGCAGCTCCTTGCCGCCCATGGCTCAGCCCAAAGGCTCAATTCTAGATGTATCCTACCATGGCCATGAAAGGACATGGGCCACCATGAGCCCACCAATGCTGCCAAGCTTGGGGTAGCTGTCCCCCCAGGAGCTTACCATACAACTCGTTTGGCCTTCTCACAGCCCCCATACCACACAAGTCCAAGAGGTACTAGGAAACAGTGAAAACCAAACTCATTTGGTTCCATTCTGGCTTAAGAGTCAGAAGGAGACTCTTGTGTATGAAGGACAGCCACTGTTACTTCTCTGGATCCTCGTTTCCCCATCAGCAAAACATGAATCTGGATTCCCTCCCTGGATGGGACAACAAGGAGCCGGCACCCCCAGGGGGCTCTGCACCCTTGGCTCCACATACAAAAAAAGTTTCTCAGGACTCCAGAGCTTCCTCTTTTCATCCCAACCATCTGGGTGGGAAAACAGAGTTCTGTAACACTCAAGGAGATCCTACCACTCCTGTGAAGCAGACTGCTGCCTGCCAGTCTCATGCATCCTTCCTGGGATGCCAGAGATGAGACTACAAAGACTATGCCTCCAAAGGACATGGGTCCCGACTGGGAATCAGGGGCCCCAGTACCCCTTCTCACATCTGGCTCAGCTGTTTCCTCACCATGTTAACCATGTCCAGTCACCTATTCACTCGGGAAGTTTTCAGGGACCAAACCAATGGCCCCAATATTACTCATCCAATTTAAACAACAGTATCTAGTCAAGCCTACCCTTTTCTTAAGAATTAGGGAGAAGGGGATAATGTAATACCTGAGTCCTTTTTAAGGGAAAGAAAAGCAAACCCCCTATACGATAAGGATTATATAGGTATACCCCACTTTAAATGATGCAATTCTCTGAAAATTTGTATATTTTATATTATCTATTCAAATATCCTTTATCTTATTTTTGAATAATTCTAAAATGGGCTAGAAATATTTAATTCTGAAGCTTCTCTGCACAGTCTTATCCTTCCCCAATGCCTTGCAGTTACATAATTACCTGTAAATGTAAACACACACGCACACCCAGCAGAGCTATTAAGAACTCCTAAGGTGAATGCTTTGGCAGTTTAGAATCACTCCCTAATTTGCCTGTTTTGCAGTTTGTTTGCATGGGATATACATGCTTTCTTATGTCCCCCCTTCCAGCAGGGCAACTCAGGGGCCAATGCCCACCCTTGGCCATCAGCCACAGCTCTCCCAGCGCACCTTCTTGATATAGGCAGCAATGTCCTTCTCTATGTTGTACTTCTCCATGGCCTGCGTGGCGCAGTCAACGGCATCCTGTTGCATGTCCTCAGACATGTCTGCGTTCTTGATCACTGCCTTCCGGTCAGACATCGTGAAACTGCAGAAGAAGCAGAGAGGTGAGGCTGACAAATCTATGCTCTGGGCAATAAACATGAACTGCTGGGTGTGGGGCTTCAGTGGGAGAGGGAAATTTAGAGGAAAGGGCAACAGAAAACTCAGAAATGAGGCATTAGGGGAGATGCTCTTAAGCTTTTAGCAGAGACAGTTCCCACCCCTGGGAAATACAGGGCAAATAGGAAAAAGGACATAATAACCATCAGTTTTTATCATATATAAAATGAGTTTTTTTCCAACTCTAAAATTTATCTATTTCTGATATTCTGAACAGCACTGATAGCCAAGGTGATATTATATATCTATTAGCTGTGTCTTTAGGCAAATTACTTAACCTTTATGCTTTCATGTCCTCTATAAAATGTGGACTGCAGGGTTGTCCTGAGGATAAACCAGGTGGCATAACACCTGAACAGAATAAGCCTTGATTTAGTGACCATTATTACATCATTGGTATTACAGTAGAAAGAAGATGGACTAAGAATCAGTAGGCCTAACTCTTGGTCTGGACTTTGAACTCTTGTAGTCTTGGACAAGTCACTTGGCCTTCCTGCGTTTGATTATTTCCATTTTAGCAATAAGCTCTCTATTGTAGACTGTTGTAAAGATTAACTAAGGTTGTATGAGAGCAACTACAAACAAGGAAAGTCTATACGAGGGGCTGTCCACTGGCCAAAGTCAGCCTACCACCTGTTTTTATAAAATAAGAGTCTCATAGGAACATGCTACAATGCCAGAGTTGAGTAGCTGTGAGAGACTATATGGCCTGTAAAGCCTAAAACATTTACTATCTGGCCCTTCACAGAAAAAGATTGCCAACCCCTGTTCTATACAAACAAAAAAGGGGT